TTCTCTACCAAATTAAATGCTCTCAGTCCATTCAGAGATGGTCATTAAATCTGAGGTAGGCCTACATATAATATCTTCTAAATTCTGAATAACCGTACGTTATACTGTAAAAAAAAGTAATGTTGTTCCGGCATCCGATCCGGACATTTGGGATTGCCTTGTTAGTGAGACAACTTCCTAGGCCTTCGGCATATTGTGGTAGGGTGGTCAGTTCCTTTCAATGCCGCCTTTACTTCCCCAACTCGAAGTAAGGTACCTGTTACTTCTGAGTGGGCAGGAGGAGCCAAAAAAAACCTATGTCCGAACCGAGACTCGAACCCGGACTTGCCGCTTCAGGGACAAGCGCACTAACCGCTATGCCACCGCACCCTACGTTATACTGTACTATTGAAAAATGAAAACGACCTTTTGCAATACCATTATTAATAGACAGCATATTATGATATTATTATGTTGTTGCTTTTTTTCCTTGGCTACCATTTCTGAAAGCAGGTTGCGAGCGCCGTAAAACCCACTACTATTTTAAAAAAAAAAATTACGTACATATGCCGCTGTCGTTAAGAAAATGAAACAAGGAAAAACTATTAGATTATTATTATTATGATATCCCAGTTGAAGGGATTGTCACAGAAGAATTTGGCACTCAAACAACAACAGATTCTAAACAAAGCTATGCATGACAATGGTGAGATTTCAGAAGATGTGATTAAATTATAACTTTATTTCTTAATGGCCTAACTAAACGAAAGCAGTGGATGCCGCCGAGTGATATGTAGATGCATAGAACAATAATCCTCTCGAGTCACTGTATAATACATGCAAATAATTTTTTAAAGAAATATATCAATAAATAGAAATAGAATAAATGCTATAGACTATTCACCAAAACAATGTATAAAATTTATGAAAAGGTGTATCGAAGTTCAGAAAGATCTCTGTTATGATGCTTCATGGGTTATTCAAAGGCTTTTGATAAAGTTGCACTTGATGAGCTATTCAAAATTTTAGAAGAGCTAGACAGACGGAAAAGATTTTAAAATCATTTGGACAAAACACTGCTGTATGAATTGAAGTAGAGTTCAACAAAATTGAATAGGCCTATAAGTTGATTTAAAGAGGGAATTGAGGCTATGCAAAAAAAAAAAAAAAAAAAAAAAAACCAACTCTGATAGACGGGTAGAGGGAACATGCACGGGACATGTAATTTTTCCGGGGCATATCTCTCTCTACCTCTCTCTCTCCTCCCCTCACCCCCTCTCTCCCCCTCTCTGTCTCCCTCCCCTCCCCCCTTCTCTCTCTTTCTCTGTTTGTGAAGTAAGTATAATTCTTTTTAAAATTCTTCTTGGACCAAAATGCTTAGCTCTGATTCGAGTTGTAAGACTTTGCAAAGCGTTATTGTTTAGTCTTGTTTCCCTCATTAACCCATTGAGTTCC